ATCGCGATCTGCGGCGGCAATTCGGCGGAAGGTCCTTCGCTCCGAGCCGGAGTGAGGGACCATCCGCCGAATTGCCGCCGAATAGCTGGACGTGCCACCCCTCTCCTGAGTGGCTGCTCCAAGCACCTGCTTGACAAGCTGGTGCCTGGAGCCGGCCCTGCTTCCATCTATCCTACATACTTATATGGGGGTACTAGGATACAGGGGGTGCTTCCCTCCCCCCCCCCATGTGACTGTGGGGAAAAACTGCAGAGAGCAGCCAGCCAGAGACTCCAGCCAATAGGAACAAAGGAGCCAAAGCAGGGATCTCTGGACATTCCTCAGAACTGAAGAAAACTCTCTGACTTCCCCTGCCCTGTCCTAATTGGCTCCAACCTTCCCCCCCCCCGCCCCTCAATCTTTTTCAGAGTCACTGTTTCCCTGGAGAGAGTCCCCCATACCTACATTCTTTGTTCCTAGATGTATATATTTACATTTAGCCATATTACAATGAATATTGTTTGCTTGCGCCCAGCACACCAAGAGATCCAGGTCGCTCTGTATCAGTGACCGGTCCTCTTCATTTACCACTCCCCCAATTTGTGTGTCATCGGCCAACATTATCAGAGATGATGTGTTTTTTTTCCAGGTGATAGACAAAAAAATATTAAATAGCATAGGCTCAAGAATCAATCCTCGCAGGACCCCATTAGAAACAGACCCACTCAATGATAATTCCCCATTTACAATTACATTTTGAGACCTATGATTTATCCATTTTTAATTCGTTGAATGTGTGCCAGGGTCTCCATGTGGAAGATGGGTAACTGCCTGGCAAATTAGACCTGCAAACAAGCTGTTTATTGTTTTAAAGATAGGTTTTCTCTGAAATGTTTTTGTTCTGAATAAACAGTACTTCGTTTTTATGAGAGCTGGCTCCTCACTGGTTAACCTGTCATTGCCCCTGACAATTACAGTAAACTGCAGAATTCTGCAGCCTAAGGCCCAGGTCTACAGGGGGAGAGTGTGTCATGGGATACTGCCTCAAGAGAGATCAAAGTGGGGTGCCCTCAAGGAGGCCACAAAAGGATCAGAGATGCAGTTAGCTCAGGAAATGTGACACTGGACGCCTCACAATCTTTAGTCTACTTTTTCTCACAATGCCCCGCAAGGGAGGGAACTGTTCTTAGCTCAATTTACACAAATTTTACTCTCTTTTTTCTTTGACACAAAGATTAAGTGACTTCACCAGGCTCACACAGGAAGTCTATGGTGGAACAAAGACTTGAACCCAAGTCGCCTAAGTTCCAGGCTAATGCCCAGGCACTGGGCCATCCTTCCTCTTGGCTCTGAGACTTAGGTGTGGCAGAAAATGTTGATGGTGACACTTTACTTTGAGCCATTACAGCATCAACATGCCACCAGGCTGTTAAGGGGCACTGAGCAGCTGTGGGTGAATGAGTCATAGAATGAAAAATCACTAACCATTTGTCATTATTAAAGATCCCATAGCACTTTTCACACAGTGGGGGTGTTAGCCCCCATTTTCAGGCCAAATAGCAATTCATCTGATTTCAGTCTGCCTACCTAAATTGCTCTCATAGTTTTAACTTCACAGGGTATTGTCCATGTCCTCTCCTACACTGGTGTGAAGTGTTGTTGTAAGATCTTCAAACCAAGAAAATATATAGTTTGTACAGCATCCTATATTAGTTTATTAAATTTGTAAAGTGCTTTAGGATCCTTCCGGGCGAAAAGTTCCTATATAAATATAGACTGTTATAATATTTTAAATATATATTAAATAAATATACCCTATTTGAATAAGCGACTGACCACTTGCTTTGTTACAGTAGGTGCTGCTCACAGCGTTCTCAGCAGTCACCCACGGGAGGCGTTTCCATTTGTGTCTGTTCATTTAAATCTATGCAGCACGTGAACCTGTCAAGCCACCTCTACGAGGCCAAAACCTAGGGGAATGAGTTATGTCTCCTCCTCCCATACCTTGCGATCCCATTGCTCAGCATGATGCACTGCGTGCCACCAGGCCCACCACCCAAGGCATTTTAAACGTGGCATATTCCCTGTCGCTATTAGAGCGCCTCTCCCTTACCTCTCTCTGCACAAACTAGCCAAAAAAAACCCCAAACAAACATAAAAAATAAAAAGAGAGAGAGAGAGAGAGAGAGAGAGAGAGAGAGAGGAAAGCCTTAAGGAGAGCAGTCAACTGTGATCAAGGTCACTTTTGTTGCTGTCTCATGGCTGAGATGTTCAGCCTAAAGGAAGCTGACGAATTCCCAAGGCTGTCAGCGGAGACTGTTGAATGAAGGGGATATTTTATAAAAAACTACATTCTTAGCTGCGTGTATGTGCCACACTTTCATACTGGTATGGGAAAGCAATCTCTGAGAGCCACAAACGCAGTCGCATGCACGTGCGTTCTATGGTGATTATGCAGCAGAGGCCCATGCGTCTACCACTAAGTTTAAGGAAGTTTGTTCTACTAAAATCAAGATCCTGAGGAACAGATTGGTTGCTTAATCCGCTAAAAAAGGTCAATGAAGCGCCACTATTCTCTGCTAGTCATCCCCTATAAAGGATTTTTTAACAGAAAATAGTGTCATCTATTCAAACGCTGGATCAAAGGATCAGGAATTCTAGGAAATGCAGCTAAATACAAGTGGTTTATATTTTCAGACAGCTGTTGGTTAGACTTCACCATGCTGTCAGTGCCTTCAATTGTAATCAGGCTCACACCTACATTCTGTGGGACTAAAATCCGAGTCATGCTGACATTTCTCACTCCTTGATTTTTATCCCCGATTACAGCTTTGCCAGCAGCCTAAATTTACAATGCTGTGATGAGGCCTTTGCATTATTCCTACCTCACTTCACCTGACCACAACACTGGTGTCAAATGAGATATATGGAACTAAAGTCCACTATTTCACTGACTGAGGCAACTGAACCCTTTAAATTATTTACACTGCATTTATATCAAGCACCAACAAAAATGCATCTCAGGTTTCTCCTAGTGGGTAAAATTTGTCTTTGTCAGCAGTGAGAGATTGAAAAATGTAACTGCTGTGAGAGAAAGATGAAGGGTTCTTTCAATCTGCATAGACATATATTCTTTACTGTCTTCTTCTGATTTTGAATCTATCGTGTTTTCGAAGTTGACCTTATATAGCACCTTTCGATATCAAAGCACTTCACAAATCAGGCATATAAAACACAGATACCTATGGGATGGAGGGCAACAATTAACCAATGCACAGCACAAGCATGACACTCAAGGGAAGAGGACAACATGGACAACAGGCCAAAACTGCAATGCAACCTTTTATATCAGGGGTCCCTAAATTTTTCACGGTAACGCCTCCCCTTACTTCTGTCTACGCCCCCTCCCACAGGAGCCGGGGCTGGGAACGGGGCCATGTGGACAAGGGCAAGGGGGCCGAGGCTGGGGCTGCACCTGGGGGTGGTGGTGGCTGGGGCTGGGAACGGAGCCACGGCCAAGGCCGAGATGGGGTCAGGGCCAGGAACGGAGCTGTGGCCAGGGGTCGAGGCTGGGGCTGGGAGCAGAAGCCATGGCTGGGCCTCAGTCAGGGGCCAAGGCTGGGGACGGAGCTGAGGCTGGAGCTGGGGCCACAGCTGGGGGCAGGGCTGGAGCGCGCTCCTTCCCTGCCCCCTCATGGGAGCTGGCTCAAGCCCCACTGTGCCCCC